TCTATATAAGTGAGCCAAATCATCTCTCTCAACCCCTTGACTTCAAGTAATCCTCCCACCTTAGCCTCCAAAGTGCTAGGACTACAGGAGTGAGCCACCATACTTGTCCTAAGTAACTTCTCTTATGAAAAAAATCACTCTAAAGCTTTAAAAATATATATTTAATCATATAGGGAAATATTCATTATAAATCTGTTAACAAGCCTGAGAAAGCAGTTTACAAAATCACAGAAGTATATATGATAATTACATTTTGTTGTAAATATTTTTGCCAATGACAATAGGTCACAGAAATGTTTCTAGGTAGATAATGGGAATGATACCTGTCTCTCTGCAGAAGACTTTTTTCTTTCCCCTTTTATTTCCTGTCAAGCTTATTTTTTATTTTTATGATGATAATATAGATATTGATACTATAATTCCTTTTAATTTGTACTGTATGCTTATATAAAATGCATTGTTCTTAGCAGTTTATTGTCCATAGTGCTTAAAGAACTTTTTTTTTTTAATTTTGAGATAGAGTCTCACTCATTGTTGCTCAGCCTAGAACCCACGCAGTGTATTTATATTATGATTAATTTGTATTTAGAAATGACTATGAAATCATAAAATTGTAATTTAACAGATCTAGTAATTTACATATGTAAATATATTTTTAAAATCCTTTTTGTAATGGAAATAGCCATTTCCCTAAATTCCTTGTTTTCTAAAAAATGACTTTTAATTCAAATACTGCTACCACCGCCACAGTCACTAGCAGCATTTTACTCTGCATGAAGCACCTGCTAAGCTGCTCGTATGTGTTAGCTCCCTGAGTAGTCACTCTTAACTCTTCATGATTTAAAGTGTAGGAAACCAAAACCTAAGGAAGTTATTATTAAGCGTTATGAGATCACTATCTGAACCCAGGCAGTTTGATTCCCTAAATACTATTCCTGACTGCTTTACTGTTACTTCAATTTGAAATATTAATAACTACTAAGGTATAGCTAAGTAACATAGAAGGAATTTACTATCATACAGTATAAAAACCAGTGAATTATTTTATCTAATGCTATTAAAGGTAAATTGATTTAATGTTGTGATGATTATTGGGTCTTATTTGCATATGTGTGTTTATTTTACAAGTTTATTTTAGTAAATTATTAAACGAAAGTTACCTTTTTCATTTCAGTTTGGCAATTCTATTATCAACACACCTCTAAAACGTCGTAAAGTGTTTTCCCAAGAAACTTCAGTTGATCCTTTTTCTTTAAGCTGCCAAAATTCCTTTGAGAGTATCATTTTGCACTGTCGAAGTATACGAGTAGGAACACTCTTCCGGCTATTAACAAAGCCTGTAATTGTAAGTACATTCTTAAGCTCTTTATTGTATCAGTTATTAGCTTTAAAGATGTAATATTTAAAATTTGTTAGAATAAAAGCTGTAATTTAATAGAACATTGAAATTATTTTAAGATTTCAGATTGCTTTATGGGTATATAAATAGTAGCTTCTTATTAAAAATCAGTGTATAAAAATCTATCATAATTTAATGTTTAAAGTAGTAGCATATTCATTTTAGGAAGATATTTGTGACAATCAATGAGTTAGAAAACCTTCCAGTTTATTGCTTTTCTGTTGTAATGCTAGCTCGGTGCATGGGAAGAGTATAGTAACGAATTGTAGTGAGAGAAGAATTCAGAAGCTTTGGGTTCTGCTAAAAATTGTATTATAGCATTAAACCTCCTAGAATTAGATTATTGGAGTACCGTGACTGCCTGAGAGGCATTGTTCTTTATAGTAGTTCATTGTCCATAGAGCTCAAAGAATTTTTTTTTTTTTT